AAGTTAATACAACATCACACTAAACCGTAAACAAACAAAGTTCCCTCTAACAAACTGTTTACTGTTTAAAGGACAAACTACATATAAAACTTCACGCACCCGAATGGATGTCACGCTTAAAAGTGAACGACAATGTGAATCTCCATAGAAGCATAGATTGTATTGCCAAGGTAGTGAAGAGCTGTCTGAAGCGATAAATCGTATAAATGTTAATTGATGTGCATATGGATTGAGTTTCGAATAGTATCTGATATATACATAGATGTAAACTGTTGTCCTTGTTGTTTGCATTGCTATTGAATTCAATTTGCAGTCAGCTATAGCTATATATAAAGCATATATATTAAGGTTTAAGTTGGGCATGGCAGTTGCTTTATGTCGTTAATCGAAAAATAAGCACACGTAGAGGACAAGTTCACGCTGGCTTCAAGTGTTCATCTATGCATGCTTAAGCTTTGAGTGTGTGTGTGTAGCATTGCGAGCATTTTTACCTATGAACCTTCAATTCTTCATATTTATTCTATATGTAATATATTTTGACACCCAAGGAGCTCGGCAACACGGCGGACAACTCGGACATACTGAAGCCGGCGCCATCCTGGAGCAACGTGGCCTTGAAGACAGGCGCTCCGGGCATTACGCTGGCCACGCCCCCAGCTGCTCAGCAAATTGTCGCCTCCTCGTCATCGTCGTCGGGCGGCGGTGGCAGCGTTTTCAGTCCGAGCAGTGTGGGCCCAGTCGTTGCCGCCGCCAGCAGCAGCAGCGGCATCAGCAATTCACAGTCACGACCCAGTGTGGGCGCTTTATCCAATTCCTCATCGAGCTCATCGCACAAGCAGCAGCAGCAGCAGGCGAAGCAGGCAAAGGAGGCCAAGGAGGCAAAGGAGGAGCGAGAGAAGGAGCAGGAGCAGGCTGCAGCAGCAGCAGCAGCAGCAGCCACTGCATCCACATCCGCTGGCAATACAGATGATGAGACAAAGGGTAAGTTTGTTCAGCTCCCTGCATAAATTAAAACTAATTATTCATTTCATTGCTAGCTGCTGAGTTGGCGGCCAAGAAATCGCGGCTTAAACAAAAGTTGGTCAAGAGCGCGCGATCTGTGGCCATATTCTCGCTCAAGCTCAAGGAGCGGCGACAGCGCGAGGCGGAAAAGGCAGCCACAATTGCTGTGGAGCATGCCAAGGTATACATATTGGATTCATGAGTTGCGCTAATTGAAAAAGTTTGGAATTTTAATTCGATTCTCTTACTCAGGCTCTGGCTAAGCTGCCAATGCCGCAGCCCGTGGGCGGCGAGTTGTCTCTAATACCCATCGAACATCTTATCCAAATCGATGATATCAAGCCAGCGATCAAGCCAGCTGCAACAACAACGACAACAACATCAGCAAACGTTTCATCGAGTACACAGCCGAGCTCCTCTATGCATTATCAGCAGCA